TCAGTTGCTAATACAAGTCCGTAATTCACTGCTCACTGCCCACCTTTGCCGACTACCACATGGCTGGTAGGGACAGAGGGTCATCTTCAGGGTTCTCGGCTCTGCCAGGCAGGCTGCAACCTCACTGCTGCACCGGGAGTCACGTTTCAAAATCCATCCTTTTTTCCTGTCCATGTCAGTTCTCTAATAACACGGTTAATTTTTAGGTCGATGCTGACTGGATTGCAAACATATCTAAGGGCTGCCCCAATGCTCTCAGTAGGAAGGACAGACAGACACTCAGTGGATGTATGGGCATAAAGCTAACCAAGGCCCAAACAGGAGCTTGTCTTGCTAGTCCCTGAGGAAGGTGAAACCTGCTCATTTGGTTCTAGTGCCAGGCAAGCTGGCCTGCCTGCCAATGAGTTTAATTACTGAGACTCTCTGGGCAGAAACAAAGCTGAATTATCAACTCTGAAACATTAATACCACGATTGTACAAGGTAATTGAGGGCTACTCAAGCCCCTGTCATGATGAACTCTGAAGTACTTATCGATTCTTGTTTAGAAGGCAAAACTTTTCTGTTGTCTTCTAGTTGCATAGGCCATACAGGCAGTCTATCACAACTAGCATTAAGATCTGTTCATCTGTGAGGGCTCGGAAGTCTCTCAAGAAAGTAATCCAGATTCACAGACTTCTTATACCCAAGTGAGCTCATCATCCAGCCACCTGGCTTCTTCATTGGCTTTCTGTGTCCTACCACCACCTGAAATATTTGGTCCCTGGCCATAACTTTAAACCCAATAATGCCTTGGACATCAGGGCAACCATAGGCGTCTAGCTGAGTCAGGCTGACTCTAAAATTTAACTTCTGGGTTTATCAGTCTAAAATACATATGTAGGATGACATCAAAAAACTGAAGGTCAGGAACCTGTGACCTTTTCAAGAAATATCTGAAGGGACATTGAGTATGCTGCAGATGTTTTATGTCTGTATTTTGGAGGAAAGTAAAGATAACACAGTATATTTTCTGGTCAAAGGACTACTCTAATAAGAGATTTATCAACCTTTGGAGCAACACGTCCATCTATGGGGTTTGTACAACAGTTATTTTGCCCTGATGCCTTACCGTATTATTAAATAAAGGGAGGGCACAGACAGAAAAGGTATTGGGCATATACACAGGGAAGACAGACGATTTAGAGATTAAGAGCTGGTTCAGTTAAGAACCATCTCAGGTATTCTATTATTCACCATTTTTGTTATTATTATTTACAGAACAAATTTCTACTTATCCATTTACCAGCATGTCAGATCTGCCCTCTGCCTTTCTCAATAGGGATTATCTTGTATGTACACAGATGGCTACGGAGCTCTTGTGTCTCTCACCCTCACCTAATCATTAAGGTTCAACAAAAGGTGAACACCACAATTATGAAAGAGCTGACAGAATGTGTAAAAAACAACAATAATCAATAGCAGCAAATGTACAATTTGAGTGATTAAACTTGTGCCATTCATTATTTAACAAAACAAGAGGGAAATAAAGTAGGGAAGAAATGCCAGAAAGAAGTCAAGTAAGAACGGAAAGCTGATTTTTAGGATGGCAATAAAAAATAATGTCAGACGCCTAGAAAATTAATGCGGGTATTCTCACTGGCTGTCACACTACACTGCCAGTCCTCAGCTCAGAAAACCTCAGCAGCTTAGCATGTTCTAGGCAGGTAAGGAACAAATGGTCCATATGCCTTTTCATGTCATATTTCAAACGTCTTAAGAGGTGCTGGGGTTTTGTGCCTCAATAGATATCCTATTACTGGTGAATTTCAAGAGAATGAAATTTAAATGGAATTAATGTGTATTAGTTGACAACAAAACTTAAAAGATATAGAAGGTTTTTCCCTATTCACTTGGGACTTTTTCTTGCCCCTCAAGGAGCCAAGACCACGCTTTCAATACTCGCTGAGAAGAGATCCTCTGGCACCCCTTGTCCAAATTTTTCTCTCTGAAGTTCTCTTTGCTTCTAGAGGCCCTGGGCCACCTAGTATGTTCTCACTCAGGTCCCTGGCCATGCAGCACTGATGGACACAGACCCCTTAGTGGCAGCGGCATGGGAGGGGGTTAAGTAAGCAGCCATGTGAACAACGTGTGGGAGACAGTGGAGGCTATGCTGGCCAAGAACATTATGCCATACAAATAACTACATCATCCACTGTGGTTTAACGGATGTTTTAGTTTCTGCCAACAAGGCGAGACATCTCTGTGTGGCTATAAGAGACACTGCACAGCAATCATGGTAAAAGGTCAATAACTTTTTACACCCCTGGATAAACATCTTTGCTTGTATTTCATCAGCCTTAAGGGAAAGGATCATGCATTGCCAATATCCAAACAGGTGCTCAAAGCAAGGCTCTCACAATGTTCTCAAATTGTTCTCCCAGGCTATTCCCATTTTGCTAACAAGGGCAGGCTGGGGGCCCTTGAGTGGTTCTGTTACACTTCAAAATTAGAAAAGGGGTTATTAAAGTGTCAGAAATATCAGTCTTTATGGTACCCACACACCCATAAAATACATCATACAGCTTTTCTTGTCAATATCCTAGAGTGCTCTGCTGTGGCTTGTGTTGCTGGTATTGGGGAAGGGCCCTGCAGGAGTCTCAAAAGCTGGAATACTAATATGCCATAGGAAAAAATTATGCACTGGAGAAAGGTAAGGTGCTTGCATCAAGTATCCTAACTACTTCAGCAGCAGCTACTTTCTGCTGCATTTCCAGAGCATCTTGGTATCTACATCTTTCCATTGCAGCACTTTGTAACTTAAAAAAAGATAATAGACGCTCTAAATTGACCAATATTCTGCTTTGCAATTTACAAATCCATAATAGTTATCACAGAAGACTACAGAATGCAAAGATGGTGCAGAGGTGGTATGTGTGAGTCTATCAGAAAACAAAGCTCTGTCTAATGTTAAAGCAGTAAAATTGTTCTTTTGAGAATTTAACTTGCAATTGAAATAACACCATTTCTGTTTGGTGCTTCTAAACATGGAATTACACGTTTTGCAAAGAAGCCCAGCAACACTAACACAAATTAACCCCAATCTCCAGAAGCAGACAAACAATATAACACTGCTTTCATTGTGGTTCTTCCTAGACAAAAGAGTAGAATTTTTCATGTTTAAAATTTTAAATTTAGAAATTACAAACTGGCTCTGATAAGGTCATATGGAAATCCGGCATACCAAACAAATAAAAGTTACACATATTGAAAGGTCTGCACCCGAATCATCATTTACTAAGCACAAAGTGAGGTACTGCAAAGTAGAGTTCCTTTCCTGAAACTCTAGTTACTGCAGAGAAGGTTAAAACTATTCCCAGTCTGTCAGTGATTAGGGGACCCCTGCCATTCATCTTTGCTTTCTCTGCCACCCATCATCCCAACATCTGTTGCCCTGTAAAATGTCACCTGCTGACAACTTTATAGAGTTTATATGACCTGTGAGTGCAGAATTCTGTGCATCTCAAAAATGGGCTGTTTTTTTCATCTTTTAATGGAAATGAAGAGAGTGAACTGATTTGTAGCAACTGCCAGGCGAATCTTTCTTTATTCTTAAGGACTACTTGGCAACTACATTGCTTAGTAGGATCATAGGAGATGAACCAGTGTTTTCTGCAACCACTGGAATCATTAGGAAAACATTTTTATCTCTTCATTAATGGACGGAGTGAAACAAAAACCCAACAATGCAGTTTATGTAGACTAGATCACTTCTACAGCCTCAGCCCTCCATATCCCAGAACTTGTGCGACTGCATAGTAGGGTCCAGTCTGCATACCTGAAAGCCTCCTCTCTTCCAACAAACCAGCAGAGATCACACACTGTTCAGTAGTAAGAACTAGTCCATGAAAACAGCCATGCAAAACAAAGTGGCTGAAAACACAGCAGTAACTTGTTAGATGGCCACAGTTTCAAATGGAGACACCTGTTTCAACTGTGATATACACATTGGTAGTGAAGCAAGAGCCATTAAAAAAAGAGGAAATAGTTCTCGGTGAAATAAAGCATTGTAACATTTGAGCAGTTCTAAAGCTGGTAAATTACAATAATAGCCCTTATCAGCTCCGCGTAGTTTGGAAGCGCAGAGCATCACCTTTAGCCTTGAGTAATGGCATAATTAACTGGCTATCACTAGGCAACCATCCAGGTTACATTTTTTTAAATGATTTGAGATTGATTTTTGTATTGCTTTCAGTGCTAAATGATAATGTGTCAGTATTTTCTAATAGATGGTCCAAGAGCAAAAATGGGGCAGTTAGACCTTAGACTACTACACTCCATCCCTGTGAACGAAGAAATATGAAGCAGAGAGAAGAGAAAACTCAAGAAAAAACATTTCTACTTGGAATCTGGGGCATCTAACACCTTTTCAGAAGTGACCGAGGCTGAATGAAGGATAAGGTGCTTTTCAAGCTCTGGAGCTTGCACTCTGATGGTGAGGTAGCCCATTACAATGTTATGTAGAATAGACAGCTGGCTATATACTGCACTTTTTGGTTCCCTGGGTAATTAAAAATTATTCAGAAGTCATTACTTTTATTTCTGCTCTCACTCTCAGATGAATACAGAGTCAGAATTCAAAATTAGTAAAACTTTGCATTCAGGAAGTGCGTAAACACTACACAAAATGTAAAACTGCTTGTAATTCAAATAAGACATATACTACACTAAACTGAGTATCCAAGGATACCATTTCATGCCCCATCAGGAGTGAGGTCTGAATACAGGAAATGCCACAAACATGGTTTCTGCCCCATGAAGGCAGTGGTCAAAGAGAGCATGGCTAGGCCTTCCCTGGCTACCTGTAGTTTGCCCTCATGCACGCATTTGTCAATAAATGGGACAAAACTTCAGAAGTGCTGGAACTGCCCCCCTCTCCTTTAGACAGATCACTTGCATCTGTCAGATTTCAGAGCTGTAATGCAATATTAAAAACTTGCAGAATGCCAGACAATTTCTTACCATAGCCAAAGGGAGAACTCCTACCAGGTCCTTCTGGCTTACGTAGATCTTGGAGATTCCTAGATCAGATGTTGTGTCTCCAGGATATTCTACCTGCCATGTGATGAGCTGGGTCCCAGGTAGATCAGTAAGGTCTTCAATTTCAAAATCAATCTGCATGATTTCAGAGGAAGGACCATCCGCACTAAAAGAAAGAAAGAAAAAGAAAGGTTCCATTCACATGACTGATGAGCCAGCAATATAATTGCTTTTATATTAATAAAACATTGGATTAAGGCTGTTCCAAAGAGACGATTTGGTGGGATGATGGATTTAATAATGAATTAATCATTTGCACTTATCTTAAGATCTCAGGGCACTTCCCATACATTCAAGTGGCTTCATAACACTCTGTGAAACAGATTGCTAAGCCCTGTACCATTTTACAGATGGAGAAATGAAAGCAGATCAAGGTAAAGCAAGGACTAAAGCTACAAGCAAGTTAATCGCACAGCCTAAAAAACCTGACTCCAAGCCTCTCTCATTATGGAGTAAACTGTATTTCTTTCCTGTTAAAGCAACAGATGAGCAAATCTAAAGGCAATCACCCCTTGAAATGTGAAACTACTGCATTAAAAGCATCATCCGGTTTTTAAAAAGGCAGTCATGGAACAGAGGTCAAGCTCAGGCTGGGGTTAGTGAACTAGGGCAGGATGAGGAAACCAGGAGCCAAGCCTTTAGACATGCTGCTACCTTACTGCAAATGCCAGTCTGAAGCTCAGTTTTGTCCTTTACTAAAATGGGAATAATATTTTTAGCTTTTGAGGGGAAGGGAGAGTTACAACTTGGATTACTTAATATGGGGCAAACCTGCCAGGATCCTTGGGTAAAAGACACTAGAAAAGAACAAAGTGTTACTATGTGCGAGGATACTGTGACAATAATAGGGTTACTGATACTGTATTAATACTACTTTGCCTTTATATGCTGTCCTTTCTATTAGGTTGGAATATCATTAACGGAGCAGGTGAATCACAGTCAAATGGGAACATGAATACTATGAAGTAAAAATTTAAAAAGAGAAAGTTAGAAAGGGGCTCAAAAGCGCAATTCCTGTAAAGCTTGTTATAAAATCAGCTACTGTATAGAAAGTAATGCCATGAAGTTTCTACCGTGTATCTTGACAAGGGGAACTCTATAGTCCAGAGGCATTTATAGAGACACCAAAATACTTTGTGATATACTGTAAAGTTGTTGAGGAGCACAGAAACCCCTAGCAGTGCAGAAATTCTGGGGACATCAAGAATGACAATGTTTTTACTTTGGAAGCACTGAAGGCCAAAAAGATCTTCAGTGTTTGTGGGGAGGGGAAAGGAAAAGCTGAATTTCTTTAGTGCAAAGAGAGAAGGAATGACACAACGTGGAAGGGTCGCAAGCCACTTGCGTTGGCGAGCACAGCTAGTAGAAAGAGAAAACATTGCTGGCAACTGATCAGAGAACCATGAAAATGTGCTCAAATCTCACCAGATTTTCCTAGCTGATATGGAAAAAGAGCTAGCACTAGGCATATTTTTTACAATGATCGGTTAATGACAACAGCCCCAGTATGGGATTTTCCCCAAAATACCCAGACATTTTATTATTCTGGCTAAATCCAATGCTTTATCCAAAGCTGATGCTTGAAGAGTTTAATCTGATCATCTTTAAGGTTTGGATTTTAATGGATGCATTGAGTCCTTGCTATGCTGGATGGAGTTTAAAAGGAGCCTCTGTGTTTCCAAAATGGAACATATTGTGTTCATTTTCGCATTTCTTCATGTCAGAAAAAAAAAAGAAAAGAGCACAATTTCTAAACTAGCACTGAATGCAGCCTTATTTCATGCTGACCTAGGTAGGATCAGAAAACTGTTTTATGTAGCTGCAACTATTGAAACTCAGTTACCCTCATTGTATGAACAGGAACGGGCAATGCATTACCTATAAATACACGCCAGTGATCCTGTTTTTACAGTATGAGCTATCACAGTTTCTGTGTTTAAAGAAATAATTTAATCTCCATATAATGAACCTTGGTTTTGTGCATCTTTACAGAGCGTCCTTCTTCAGCCTGTCACTGCCCTGGCGTCTGCTCCTGCCAGTCCCTGGCCCTGCAGGACTGGTGCTGGCAGCAGCGATGCGTCCTAGCCCAGGCAGGAGGCACTGCTGTGCACAAAAGGGGACCGCAGGGAAGACAGCTGCAAAATAACTGTCAGAAAAGGAAATCGACTTTAACTTTTCCAGGTATGCTGGGGTTAGGAGAAAAGATGAAAAGTGCTTAGGACATAGCAAAACAAAAGAGGAGTGAAAGGGAATGGAAAAGATGGGGAAAGGAAAGTGGAGAGAGAGATGGTTAGAGCTGGAAAGGAAGGACAGAAAACATTGTCTTCCTCTATTCCTTTACGCTTTTCTTATCCCAAGTGCATCCCCTCTCCTCTAGTACTGCTCTGAACTGCCGAAAGATCAAGACCAGCCTACCTGAGGAAGCAATGTAAGTGATTATTTCTTTGGTTTGTTAGAGGGCCGATACCAAAAAAATTCCCAAAGACAAATGTACTATTTGGAAGAAATTTGAATAGTAACACATTTTTGCTGAACTCTAAAACGCTTTGGTGACATATTTTTATCTATCTTCCTCATTGGAGGGGTTGCAGCTTCAGGACCTATGGGAGGTGTAGTTCAGATGCTTCATGTTTTCATTCTCCTTTATGAGGCAGGCTCCTGGAAGGGCATCTCCACCCACATATCTGGGCTCCTGTCTTGGGGAGGGAAGGCAGTGCTTCATGGAAGTCTCTAATCATAGTTTGCCTTGGACGTGCAATCTGACTGGGAAGTATCACCCATAAACATGAACATGGTCTTTATTTCCTTGAACTACAGCTCCCATACAGCACAGCTACAGCTACAGTATCTCCAAAACAATGGAAAGGCTGTCTTTTAATTTTTCCTTTAAAGTTGGTACTTTAATGAAGCATTTCTTGTAGAAAAAAAAAGGCACTTTGCTTCATGATTTTGACTGAAAGTATTTAAACCCATTCATCTTAGCAATACTAGATACCTCTAACTGACGAGGTCACAAAGCACCTCAACATCAGTAAGAATCTCATTACTGCTACCAAAGGTGTATAGAAAAATGCTGAAGTATTCCACGACCTAGAGTCAGATGCAGGCTGTCAACACCAGATCAGGAACTTCTGTTTATTTAAACTTTACTCATCACTGCTCTGAAGATCCTTCCATGTACAATCCCCGTGCATCTGTGTCCCTGACTTACAGCGATAAAGGCCTTCCTGAGCCATATTTAGCAACTGGTATCTTAATACAGAACTAAGCCAAGAAGTTATCCGTGTGAATAAAAAGGAAGAAGGGGACAGGGAGGGAAAGAATGTCACATTTGCATAAGAACTTGCAAAACATCCCAAAGGCTTTGCCTAGAGAGTGGGGTGTCTCCTGGGTAGCTGAAGACAGAAAAGCCACATATCGGTTCCCAGCGTGGCAGAAGAATGAGAGAACTGTCTAAGCTTCAGTGGGAGTTAATTTGGACTGACAATGTGCATGAGGGAAATTAGTCTCTATTCTTTGCACACCTGTGAAATACCACTTGGCCCTTACCCATCAGAAAATACAGTTTAAAAAGTGTAAATGGGGAAATCTGCACAAATAGAATTCATTATCAGAGTTTAGTCACATCTAAAACATTTGTGGCTTTTCTTTTAGGTTAAGGCTACTTTGTACAATAGGCACAGATCCTGCTTGTTAACAACATTTTCATCTTTGGTGCATTTCATGTTTGCTAACACCAGTCTTCATGAGCATACACTCTCCATTTCCAACAGTAAAACTTCTATTGGGTAGCCAGCCACCGCTGCTTGAAATGTCCCACTGTCTAATCCTCCTCTAGGTAGGCACACTTTATGGTGACTATAATGCGATAGCATGTTGGCAGCTTGTTTTCACCAACGTTAAAACCATTATTGCTGTCGGGAGTACAGCAACACTGATAGCTGCAATATGGGAGGTTACGTAATTAGAAAGTTTAGCATGGACAAATCCAAAGGTTCACAATAGCAGTTTAAGCTGAGGTGAAGAGTGGTCAAAGTGAAACGGTTCTTGATGCTAATTGAAAGTCAGGTCCATCACATAGGGTTTTGCTATGTCTGTAATTTACTGTTTAGCATTGAGAGTTAAACTGTAATAGAGTTCACAGCAGTGCCAATAAACTCTCATCATGAACAGAGCCCTGCTGAGCTCTGTGTTGCGTAGACACTTTTAGTCTCAGTCCCAGCCACAATGTGAAGACAAGGAAGATAAAAACTGAAGAAAAAAGAAAACCTCACTGCAATGAGGTAAGCTGGTCTTTCCTCCCATCAGCCAGGACCAGGAACACCAGGCACATTCTTATTATATTCTTTAATCAGCCTTTTATTTCCTGTCCAACAAAAGAGTAAGCAGCTCTGACAAATGAAGAACAATGGGAAATGTTGACCTCCCTCGATGAGGGGAATATCCTACACCCAGAGAGCCACTCAGTACCTATTTCTTCTGATGCATCCCTGACTGAGAGCAAAAATATTAAAACATTTCTCTTCCCTCTCCTGGCCTGGGAGTCCTGTTAAATCAGGCCTGACACCAGGGCCCTTGGCCAACTCCTAACACCTATGCCATTACGTCAAGTTTCTTTAGAGAAAGAACCTGCTGCTCTTCCGGGTCTTCAGCGCTGGCATGCCCTGCAACACATAATTTTCAAGAAGAGATCCTGTAAATACCAGCATAGCCCCTGGATGATGGCAGTGTCAGTCAGCTCAAGCATCCCGTTCCTGATTCTACTAGCTGTGGTATCAGCTTCGATCTGTATATAAAGATAACAAAACAAGATTTGTTCTGAACCTACTGAAACGACTGGGCATTTAATGTTTCTCATAATATGAGGTATAAAGTTTTATCACCGTCTTTAGAAGACTATAACCGACACAAGAAGCCTAAAGCTGTGAATATGCTAAATAAGAAATATCATAGGAATGTTAATGAAAGAGCCTTGGGGACAGGGGAGAACGAGGTAAGGTAATCGTTATTCTTTTCCGCCTCCATGCACGTAGCCTGGTCCCCAGCACATCACGCACCTGAAACACTGCACAGGCCAGGCTGAGAGTTGGATCGACAGCACTCGGA